TTCAGATGTTAAACAATTTAATGATGCCTTCTCTGTTCCACTAGAGCAGACTTTATATATCAAACAGTGTATCAGATAGAATGATAAGTAGAAAATGCCCTTCATGGAACTTTCTTCTTAGATAATGAAAAAGGCAATAAACAAGTAAGCAAATAAATGACAAACCATATGAGGTGAATAAACAGTACACTGACAGAGATTAGCATAGTTCTAGGTCAAGGATAGCTTTTCTTAGAAGAAGAAAACTGAGATATAGAGAAGAGAAAGAAACCAATCATTTAGACACACAGAGGAAGAGTACTCTAAACCATGGTTTTCGGTGTTGACATTGGGACTGGGTAATTCCTTGCTGTGGAAGATAATCTTGTTCATTGTAGGATGTTTACAATCATCCTTGCTCCCTAGTATGGCAGCCAAAACAAGTTTCCAGCCATGTCCCACAGGAGATAAACTCACCTCCCCTTGATTACTCTTTTAAACATAGGAAATAATCAAAGTACTGAATAGCATGAGATACTATTGAGGTGGTAAGAACAGATCACTGAAGTGTGTTTAGGACTTGGCAAAACTTTTGGATTTTATCCTATATAAATGGTAAGTCATTGAACAATTTTAAGTTGGGGAGAGATGTGTCTACACTTTCAGGCAGCTTTCAGGCAGGTATAGTGGTGCACACCTACAATCTCAGCTACTCCAGAGGCTAGGCAGGAGGATGGCAGATTTGAGGCAATCTTCAACAATTTAGCAAAACACTATCTCAAATAGGAAGAAAAGGGCTAAGGTGTAGGGGAAGTGGGAAGGGTAGAGGAAAGGAAATAATGGAAAAGAAAAATTATGAGAAAAGCCAAAAATGAAAACAAAGTCTTTGTAAATAGGGGAGGGGAGGGGGTGAATGGAGGACAGGGGCATGGGGAAAATAGGAGAACCAAGATCTGTCATGTAAAGGTCCAAGATCCCAATGATGAATGTAACTGTACTGCATACTTAAAAAGTAACACATCATACTAAATATTAAGGTCATATCTACGTGGGTTTGATTACAGAAACTAAAAGTATTCTCTAAATAATGAAAAAAAGAATAAGATAAGACTATAAGAGCGAGAAGCAATTTAAATATGTTCAGGGACCATTTTCATCTCCAGAATTGAGGGTTATTTTAATGTTTCATCATTGCCTTTTCTCGTTTACTTTCCTTTTTAGTTTTATTTTAGGATTCCCTATTTTTAATGTTCATACAGAGATTTCTTTAACTGAAATAGAGAATAGTTTCTTTGGTGTGAAAAACTATAATAGTACACAGGATCCTAATGATATAATTAATAATGTGAAATAGGAAGTAAAGGGCTAAAGGTGTAGGGAAAGAGGGAAGGGTGGGGGAAAGGTAATAAGGGAGAGGAAAAAAATATGAGAAACTGAAAAAATGGAAAAAAAGTGTTTGTAAATGGGGAGGGGAGGAGGGGGTGAAGAGAGGGCAGGCACAAGGGGAAAAAATGAGAATCAAGACCTATTATGTAAAGGTACAGAATCCCAATGATGAATGTAATTGTATTGTATACCTAGATTGTACCAATAAACTCAATAAAAAGAAAAAAAAATTAAAAAAAAAAGTACCAATGAACTTGATGAAAAAAACAAAACAAAACAAAACAAAACACCCAAAAAACAAAAACAAAAAAAAATGGATAAAGCTACTGCTAAAAAAAAAAAAAAGAAAGAAAAAAAAAAAAAGAAACTATCTCAAAAATTCACCATGAGGGTGAATGAGATCTCAGGATCTTAAACTAAAACACACCATCACATAAGACTGAAAGAACCAAAGCAAAGCAGATTGTAAAGGAGCAGCCAATGAAGGATGATGTTATAATTGAAATGTGCTTTAAGGAGGAAGTGGTTGATCCTGACTGGATTTTTCGGGTAGTTCAATGCTGAGTCACAGGCTGATTTCTCTTTTTGCCTTGCTATAGCTTCCTCTCTAATCCTTGGTATCGTACTCTAAACTAATCACCTTGTTCAAGAACACCCAAAGATTTCCTATTTCAGTACTGCACTGGCATTGTTCATTTCTGTTTCTAGGAGTTTTTTAACAGTCACATCTCCTCAGTGACTTCAAAAACTTCTGCTATGAATCTTTGAAGCTGAAGCTCAAATGTGATCTTTCAGAGAGCCCTCTCTAACAATTTTGGCTCACACAGATGTTTGTATTCTTAAAACAAAAACAAACAAACAAACAAACAAACAAAAAAACAGTAAAACTGCCAAACTTTTTGTTCTATCCACTAAATATGTAGTTTTTAAGCATCTGTACCAGGCATGGGTCTATGCCCTAGAACTACAATAAAAATTAGTATGGTCCCTGCGCTGTATAGTTTAGTAAGGAATTAGTCTGGCCAGTCCTCCTCATTAATAGATTCAGGAAGAAAGGACTTCGTTTAGTGTCTAATCCTGAGTCAGTCTTTCGGCTATTATTTCTCTATGCTCTTATTTTAGTCTGCCCCTCCCAATTCAGTCATGGTTTGCCACACCTTTCTTTGGCTGCTGATTACCTCATGAAAGTATTGGATCACAGCTCCTCAGGACAGAATGTTGCTACTCCTACCAGTCATCAGTGTTAGGATGAACATAGCCACAGGAGTTCATTTCCCAAACTATGAGTTGAAATCAATCCAAACAAACCACTAAGAAGATATACATGTGCTACTGGTGTGCACCTCAGCTGGATTTTAACTGAACAATCTAGTGTGTTCTCTGGTATTCCAAACCCACTTCCTTTTATGATCTTTTTGTCAATATGAGGACCACCCCCTCCCTTTTAAATCTATTTGCCTCAGATGCAGCCTTCTTTGTCCTTAAACTGGGAACTATTACAATTCCATCATTTAATGGTCAGTACTTAGGTATGCTTAGAGCTAAGACATTTTGAAATTATGATTTTAAAAGTATACAGTCAGGATCTAATCAAGTTTTTGAGCAGGTTACAATAGTGTATTTTTCTGTAATTTCTAAATGAGGAAGGGAGATAGTGAAAGCCTTTATTATCCAGTTTATAAAACTCAAGGGATAAAAATGGCAGTTGCTCTGTCAAGTACACTTAAGAGAAATAATTACAGCATGAAATAATTTTTATAATATAAGTAAGTCCAAAAGAGCTGACAGAAGGACTAATCTGTCTCAGGAAATTATAAAATGACCCATTGAGGAAGTAAACACTCAACTGAGACTCGAAAGATCTTGACTGTAACTAGTAATAGAAAAGCAAGTTTAGAATGGCTGGTGTAGAGTAAATGGGAACAATGACAGATGAGGTTGTCATCTCCAGCCAAATCATGAAGAGATGGAATTCTGAAAAAGTTGTTAGGAGTCTCATGATCACACTTTCACATTAGAAAAATTAAACAGAATGGAGGTCGGACTGAAATAGGAAATAACTGGAGGACTTATAAACACTGCAGTAGTACAAAGGAGATGAGTCAGAAGAGATGAAGACCTGAAGGACTGAGACAGTAAAAGTGGAGATTACACAGGAAGGTGGATGGAGAGACAGGCAGGGAAATGAGTCAATAAAACCTGATATTAGATAGAGGGGCTGATGGAAAAGTAACATGGATGCTCTCGGATTTCTGACTCTGGGCTACTGGGTATACTATTTAAAATTGGAAATGGAAATGGCCTAGGTTGCAGGTGGAGTGGAGAAAGAAATAGCATCAGGAATAAATTTTGATAAACAAGCCCACACCCAGCTGAGATACATTTAATGCATCTGTATGAAATATAAACAAAGATCTTGTTGCTTTAAAGGGTCTGATCTCTGTGCACAGAATACCTGATGGGCCAAGTCTGATGGGAAAGAGGATGGTCTAGGGGATGTAATGGATTATGTTAAAGACAAAAAGAAACAGACTACTGGGGAATAGAGGGCATGCACAAAAAAACACCACAGAGGTAGTTGTAAAGCCAAGAGAAAAGGCATTAGAAAAAACAAGAGGAATAGTTAACGGTGTTCTTGTTACTTCATAAAATGTAGGATTTTTTTCCCCTCTCCCTTCCATAGGTTTCTTATATTTTATGGACATGAACTGTAGTTTCATTTTATTTCATTCAGTGCCTCATTCAACACAGGAAACGTAGTAAAATGCTAAATTCTCATTCAATCTCAAGCACATACAAGTACTTGCATTTACTTCCAATCAACCTGCAAAGTTTTTTCGTCCTATTTCTTCCAATAGAGTTCCTTGAGCTCACCTAAACCCATCTTAATTGTTACCTTCTCTCTGCCCTAGCTTTGACATGAATCCCTCCATACTTTTCATTTTGAAAGACCTTGCTAACTTTTATCTTTTATCACTATTTCTAGGGAGTGATTTTTTGCTTTTCAAAACAAAGCTTAGTCCAAGTCTCAGGTCTCGGCAGTGGCTTGTAATTTAAACCGAAAGGAGGCAGCCGCGTTTTTCCGACAATGAACCATTAACCGGGTCAATACACTTAAAGCCTTCATTTTATTACACGAAACCACCCGCTGGGGAGATCGTAGCTAAACAGAGATTCGAAAGGCTCAGGGAGCTCGCGTCCGCTGGGGCCTGGTGACACCGCTGTACCGACTGTTCTCTCAGGTGACACCTATCTAAACGTACTCCTTGGTGGATCCGCGTTTCCGACCTTAGAAAGTACGAACACACGGCCAAGAAAACCGGAACAATCACGCCAGCTCGATGAACTGCCCCTACTTCTCGCCACACTAGACCGCCGCGCCACGAGCCCGCCTGCCCGGGACAATCGAGCTCCCACGCTGCGCTCGGGCTGTAGTCAGAGCGAGGTTCGAGCTCAAGCTCTCGCGGGATCTCGCGCCTCAGCGAACCCCCGCGGGAATAGGCTTTTGCGGGTCGGGAAAGCCCGGAATTTTCTTGTGGGGGCGGTGCCACTCAGAGGGGGCGGGGAGCAGGGAGGGGCGGGGCTCCCGGGAAGTCGGGAAATCGGAATTTTCTTGTGGGGGCGGTGCCACTCAGAGGGGGCGGGGAGCAGGGAGGGGCGGGGCTCCCGGGACCTGTTGATCGCAGGTGTCAGTTCCCCGGCTGGCCCCTGAGTGCTGGGCGTGTGCGCATGCTCGGCGCACGGGGTTGGGCTCTGGGCTCTGGGCTCTGAGACCCGCAGCCGCTGCCCCAGTTCCCGGTGAACCTCGGTGCGTTAGCAATTGTTGGTGTGTCAGTCCGGTGTCGGCGTGAGGCGGCGCTGGGTCAGCGCAAGGCAGCGCTGTGGAAGTGGAAGGCCCGCTTTTCCCTACCTGGATCGCACGCTCCTGGCGCTGGGAAGGGGCAGCTCACGGTAGGTCCCAGAAACTGGATCTGGATGAAGATCTGAGGACCTGCGACCCTCGCGGGCCTGAGCGGGGCGCTGCCCGCCCTGCCGGACGGTGTTGAGCTGTTGAGGGCGCGAGGGGCAGGAGCTGCCATCGCCCAGGGCACTGGATCTGAGGGTCCGGCTTCCTGGGCGCCTGCCTTGACTTTCCCTCCGCACAGCCTCTCGCGAGCACACAGCTCCTGAAAAGATCCTGGATGGTTTTGTTCTCTCCTTGGAGGGGAGTGTGGATTGGTTTCGCGAGAATTTGAGAGTTGGTCGTTTTCCAATGGTAGTAGTGGTGTGTAAAGTTAATGTTTGGCTTCTAAACCTGGGTTTACGGGGCATTTCCTAACTGCTCTGAAACTGCGCTGGAGAACAGGAAGTGCTTGCACAGGTGTGACTGGGAGCGTTTCTTGAGTCTGCAATCTGAGCCCTCTCTGAGGTTTTGTTATCCCGCTACAAGGTTTTCTTTATCATTGCAGAGTCTGATTAAGGCTCGGAAAATGTACTGCAAGGCTTTATCTATTAGGCAACAAAGTTTTCCAAATGTTTGCTTATCCAAGGCTATTTTGGGGGGTACGTTTAACTGTACATTTAGGGAGATCATTGACCAAGATCTAATTCGCCTTTAGTGCGTTAAAGAAAAGCTTTGCCAATATTCTGTACCGAAAAGGAGTAGTAGCAAGTCCTAACACAAAATTCTGACACAAATGAACTTTGGATTAAATTGATACTTACTCGTTAAGTTTTATTTTTTGTTCTGTCTTCCACGATAATGGAGTAGGAGGCAAAGATCCTTCATCCTGTAAGAACAAAATGAACAAAATTTATTCTGTAAAAGTAATATATGATCCGTTGTTACCATAATTACAAATAGACAGATGTACTGTAGAAAGGAATTATAGTCTGAAACACAAGCTTTTTGTTTTATATTTTGTTTATATATTTTGTTATATATTTATATTTTTTATATATTTTGTTTTATACTTTTAAAATGAGCTCCTTTGGACAGTTTGTCCAGGTTTGTGTCCAGTTTATAAACTAGGCAGGCGATTTATTGAAAGTTGTTCATAAATAAAACTAATGGATAATTGTGTGGTTTTCTCTAAATGTAAAAAATAAGAGAACAGGCCTTTCAATTTTCCTATAAATTTTTAAATTTTTGTAAAATTGCAATTTGTACACAATGCATGGAACTTGACATAAATGATCAATTCATTAATATTTTCTCTAAAAGATTCAAAAGTTACTTATTTAAAAGATCTGTTTTATTGGTTTTGACACACTTTTCCACTTTGTTTATTCTTTTCCTTAAGAAGAGTCATAATCTTATGACTTAAGTATGTAGTATGAATCAAGATCTTTTATATTCTTTAGTGTCTAGTAAGTTTTTATTTTTCACAGCGTAGCGTCAAGAAATACAATTTTAATTCCATATGGCTTAGAATTTTGTTATATTAAGGCAAAGTTAAAATATGAAAATGTTTATCTGTTTTGAGGTGGTGAACACCTTTTACAGTCGAAATCAGAGTAACTTTCCCTGCTGGAACTTTTTGGAGCTCACCTTGTGGACTAGAGGAAACATTACCCTACAATTTTCCAAATACATATTTCGTCTCTGGAAAGTGGTGGATTAAACTCTTCTTCAAAGACATTTATTTATTAAAATACTTAGCAGATCTTGTTATATGACAGCCTTAATTATAAGATATTTCTGAATTATAGACCCTAAAGGCAACCTCCAGAAAGTTAGTATGTCATTTTGAACACAATGTGCTAGGTATGAAGCTCTTGTTCTTGAACACTTATTTTAAGGCCATATACTAATTTGTCTAATCTTTGAAAAGAATAGATGGTGATGATACAAATATAGCATTGTTGTATTATTTTGTAATGATGAAATTGAGAAATTTTTGCTTTTCAGTGTATACACATAATAGGAACAAGAAACACATGAAGCTTTCTCTACCACAGACAAAATCCTTGAATGTTATTTAAACATTAAATAACTTTGTGTAATATCGTAATCTTGACAAGTTATAATTCTTTTATTTATAGAATTATGTTAGATATCGCATATATAGTTTATTTAGGCAGAACTATTTGTTCTGTGCTTTTCCAAGTTAACTTATATCCTCTATCAGTTCTTAAACTGAAGGTCCATGATTAGAAATGTGGTATTTGGTGAGAATTCACTTTTAATATAATTAGTTTTCTGTGTGATACTATGATTTTTCTTATATTTTTCTTTTAATTTTATGAATTTTATTTTATGCATTTAGAAACAGAATTTAGAAGAGGCTTTATTAGGCCAGCAAAAATGTCTCTATGTGTAAAAAAAAAAACTTCAAATCCTTGTATCTGGTTAAATAATTTTTGTTTTATGTGGGATTTCAGAGAAATTGTTTCATCTACTTGTATTTGTAATTCAGCATGAAGTAAAAATTTGTGCAACATAAATCTTATGTCACTCTTAGCTGTTTTAATTAACAAAATAATCTGAGGTACTGTGGTATTTTGTAAATACTTTGAGGATAATTACATTCATCTTTTGTTTTACATATAATGACTTCCAAAAGAAGGCTTTTGAAGAACAGTTCCTCTGGAAGTTTTTCCCTTATATTTTATGCTTTTCTAGGCTAGCAAGTTTGTCTAGTAAACATTTATTGGCCTGCTATTGCATAGCTAGGCATAATGGTAGGTACTATAGATTCAAACTTTAATAAGACCATGGTCAAGTAATCCTAAGAAAGAATTCTTCCTTTTCTGTCTCAACTCTAGCTAGTCTTAACCTGCCCCCAAGTACATTGAGTTTACAAAGGTGAAATAGTCCTTTTTCTTATTTCTTTGCCTTTGCAAGATTCTGTTTCTCGTTTCTTCCCATTTCCTTTTGAAGTTTTCAGTTACTCATGACACACCTTAAAGTATATTCTGACCTAGCAAAGGACAGTACTTACTTTATCTTTGTGTTATCCTGTATTTTATGCATCCCTTTGTCAGGGAATTATACAGTACCTACTATGTTTATTTTATACAGTACAATATTGTTGTAAAGACAGAATTCCTTAGGGAATCTGATAATATGTGAATTGTCATCTTAAGAACTGTGAGACAAATACTGGACAGAGAGACAAGGAGCAGACCGGAGGAAGAGCATTCTGAGAGACCGGAGGCATGAACAATATCAAGGATCATTTTAGGTGCCCTCATTATTTTCTATGGCTAAATATATTGTTATGTTATTATATGAAGTAAAATTGCTGTTAAATAAGTTCATAGCTATTTTTCTGAAAAGTTTTATGTTGGTTAAATTTTTCTATATAGAATCTCTTTGATTACTATTCAGAGTTTTCTGTTTCTCGTATATCTGAATGTTGCATTTTAACTCAATATATCTTTTTCTTCCCTAGTTCAAAAATTTTGTAAATAAGTGTTTAAAATAATAAATACTATGGTAAATAAAATATTTCATGTTTTCTTACAAGTAAGATAGCTTCATAAACAAAATTGCTTCTCATTTACCAAGAGTAACTTGCAGGTTTTAAAATTAAGAAATGGACACTTCATTATAAAATTTATCTGATCTCTATCTGTTTTTTGTTTTTGTTTTTTGCAGTACCAGGGATTGAACTCAGGACCTTGTGCTTGCAAGGCAGGCACAGTGCCACTGAGCTAAATCCCCAGCCCAGATATCGTTAGTCTGGATTAAAGCTACAGTCAAATTTGATTCTTTAAGGAAATAGAGAAAGATATAAAAATGAAATGTAATACAACTTTTTTTCATATTTTTGTTAATATTATTAAAATTAGAAAATTATATGTAATGTGTTCTACATAAAAAATAGTGTCATAATTGGTTTGCAATTACTGTTTTGGGTATTTTATGCACAGTTTATGATTCCTCCAATAGTCCTGTGAACCTTTATAGATTATCATTGTAGATGATGACATGGATAAGCTTTTAATGACTGAGTGGTTGAGCAGTGTGTTATGGATGTTGCTGGAAGCTGTATCAGAGAAGGGTAAATAGTTATGGAAATCATGAGGTTCTAAACATGGCCTCTGTTGTTTTCAATAATCTACTCATCCATTCTTTACTCGTTTTGGCTTCTTTTAAACTCCCCAGCCTGAATAGTAAAATCTTGCCCTTTTCCCGATGGCCCTTCCATACTTAGGTGGGCAGGTTGTTGGAGTCATACATTTTTCTCCTATGTATGTGCTGCCAAATGAGCATGATAAAACAAAGCTTACTATCTTGTCACTGTGGTATAGATACTGACCTCGCTACCAAGGGGTGGGAAATTGTCCGTTACCTGTAGTGCCTAGGTCATCTTTGTTAAAATCACCGTTTTCCAGAGGGTTTGTTATTTGAAAATTGTCCCTTATCTTCTGAGCTGCATTTAATAAATATTTCGTGATCATTTTGTTCTAGAGGCTTGGGATTTGCTTTACATTCTACACGGACTGACAAGAGACAATAAACAACACAAAAGTCAGTTATATATTAGAAGGTCAAGAGCACCAAGGAGAAAAGAAAAGGTAGAGCAGCATAAAGGGAATTGGAAATGTGAGGTGGAGATTATGATGGTTTGCAATTTTAAATAAATTTTGGCTGCTTTTTAGAAGGTTCATTTGTATCAGAATTTTGTGTTAGGACTTACTACTCCTTTTTGGTACTGAAAATTAGCAAGGCTTTTCTTTAAAAAACTAACAAAGTGAATGAGATCTGAGCCACAAAGAACTTCCTAAATGTAGTTATCTCTCTTTCCCCTCTTTCTCTTTTTCATTCTTTCATCCATTTTTTTCTTCTTTTTTAGTAAAGTAATCATGAAGGGTGGGAGGCAAGGCCATGTTATGTATCAGGGTAAATACACTCCAGACAGGGATAACTATAGCAAAAGCAATAAAGATGAGGAGTTTGCATGGTATGTGTTCAGGAATAACCAGGAAAGGGTTTGAGGGGGAAGTATGCCTGGAATGGAGAA